GAACATTTGGCGTACTGCAAGCGAACACTCAGCGCACTGGCAGCATACCACAGGAAAACGAACTATGTTCGCTTTCAGTTTGGCAGATGGTGCAAAGTGATACATATGCGAACTTTTGACGCACCTTGACGAACATACAGCGACCTGCTAGCAGAAGGTCGCTACTAGTACGTTTCTGTTCGTCATGACAAACTAAAAACAACCTAATAGCATACAGAAAATTTTGCGTCGGGCATCCAGAAAGGATGCAATTTTGTTCCCTTAATTGGACAAATTGTGTGAAGTTTCACACAATTTGTCTACTTTTAGGAACAAAATTGCATCCTTTCTGGATGTGCACGAAATCGTTGCAAATCTACGGACAAAATTGTCCCTTTACATTTAGAGTGTAAAGCAGATTTGCCACCACTGCCCCCTGAGGGGCGTAAGGGTCACAGGAGTGGTCACCCCTACCCTAAGGGTAGTTTTTGAAGATCGTCGCGTTTTCCACCGGAGACTTTCCCAGTGCGTCCTACACATTCTCAAATGAAGTTTACAGACTTTTCCAGACCTCCTTAGTGTGAAAAATGTGGAAATTACAGTTAAGGGTTGGACAAGGACAGTTAGGGGTAGTACAGCACAGCCCTCCAGGGGGTACGAAAGTGAAACAGGCACTGTGCTGTCGTTGCCCACGTCATACCACAAGATTTCCAGTAGCGTCCGAGATTTTACAACAACCACCCCTTTAAGAGGATGGGGTTAACTAGGGGTAGGGGGTTGGTTTGTCGGAAGGGGCGAAACGGGCCAAAAATCTTTAAATTGGTTCCTACCTATAGGACCCCCGTACACCAAATTTCAGCCACTTCCGGTACCCCCTACCCCCTTCTACCCTAACATTTCACGTTTTTTTTTCGACCCACCCCCGTGATTATTAGGGGATGCGTACGGCGTAAGGGGTGTCGCACGTCATTCGCGTTTGAGGATGTTAAACAACACACATGAATGCATGTCTATGTCAAATATCAACTTCCCAGGTGCTATGGGAGATAATTTCATCCAGGCGTAAAAGAGTAGACTGCTTAATGTTTTGACGAGTGTAGCTTATCGGACCGCGCGACGGTACACAGTAAAAATTATTGTTCTCAGTTAACAGCAAATTTGCTGTTAAGTTTTTCATTGACTCGTGTTGTTGTACAACAGCTTCGTTTGTCAAATAACGGCAAAAGTTGTGCTGTAACAGTTATTAAAAAAGTCAGCAAAAACAAAATGGTGCCCAATAGTCCAATATCAACAATGCATTGACAACAATTGTAGTTGTTTGTGAACAACTTCTGTTCTCGAACAACTGAGCTGTTGGTCAACAACTGAGCTGTTTTTTAACAACTAATTTTTACAGTGTAAGACTGTTCGATCGACAGTTTGGCGAGCGGTCGAACCCGGTCCGACTGCGCTAAGCGTTGTTGGACCGATTTCGGGGACTGGTCCGACCGTTGCAGGGCTCTGCTTCGAGACGCAAACACTTAATTTACCCGTTTAAGTAATTAAAATTGATCTTTTCATGAAGTCTACGGTGGTTTTCATAGTAGTGAAATGGACCTCTGGAGGTGACAGAATGACGGTGATTGCCCCAGTTAAGGGCAAATGATTATTTTCGGTCTGAAGTGATACACAACACAGCATGGTAATTTAACATAAGTAATTTAATCCAAAACAAGATTATGCAACAATTTCTCAGTAAAAGTCGCCAAAAAGTCTAACTCAGTTCCGATGGAAATAGCCGTTCTAGATATTTAGAACGGTGGAACAAGGACACCAGGCGTACAATATTCGCATTGATATTTATTGTCACCTTTCACGCCCTTGTTGTTCACATAAGACCATGAGTGGCAGCATTGTTCAGGGGGACTGCTGCAAACATTATTAGTTTGATTTACTTTACAATATTCATCACATGACTTTTTGTGGACGACGCCCTGCCTTAAAAACACAACTCTCTTGATGACTCTCAACTTATGTAGCACATCCAGACCACCTTTTGGACCAGAAGTGTAGGGCCAGTTGTCAATAGGCCCCCCTGTACCCGCCAGCAGCCAGAGCTCCTCCAGCGTGGAACGCTGAGAGTAAATATAGCTCATGGTGAACCCGTACGGCAGGTGGCCGATGCGCAGCCACTGGACGCGCTGCTGCAAACGTTCGGCGAGCTCTTGCTGCTGCAGCTCCTTCTGGAGTGTCTGCTCTAGAGCCTGCACCTGCGAAACTTGAGCAGAAGACCACTGCTTCTCCAGCTGACTTTTGAGTTGCTGCAGTTGCTGCTGAACGTCACGCTGTTGTTTCTGCTTGTCCGTCATGGCTTCCTGTTCCTCTTCGGGAGCAAGACTAAACGGGTAACGCCAGAGGTCTTCGCTGCAGTTCCATAGCTCGAGGCGGACGAGCCTGGGCATCGTCAGCACTACCTGTAGCTGCAGACGGTCAACATAGTGCAGCTGTAGCTCCTCCAGGTGGGGCGCAACTCCCTGAAGCAACTGGAGACAACAGGGCATGCTACCGCGCACCCCCTTAAGTCGCCGCACCTGCAAACATAATACCGGAACGGTTGTTAATGGAAAGTAGGTTTACTAAAATTGTTTGTGTTTGTGTTACACCAAAAAAGTTAATTTCTGAATAAATTTTGAAATT